GGCAATAATTCGAAGGGATATGGATTGAGAACTGATTATTGTTAGAACTGGAAATAACTGGAAAAATACCAAATAAAAACCAACTTCCATATTAATATCACTGGAATCATTGTGAAGTGATGAGACATAGGCTTTAGAGAACAGTGTTTTTGTTTGTTTGTTTTTTAAGCTTGGCTAAGACAGATTTTTCATTAAATGAAAATGACTTTTGTTACAGTAGAGTCTTATTGTTCTACTCTCACTGTATCTCAATAATAAAGGTTAGATACAGGATTACAGAAGAGAAAATTGTGACTATGAATCTTAAGGAAAACAAGCATAGTACAAGCATGAATTTGAAGATTCCAAATAAGTAATAGGAAGTGAAATATCACTTAAGTAAAGAAAAATTCCATTTTGAAGTGTAGATGTTTTATGAAAGTTTACTAGGTACAAGACACTATATTTGATTTTGGCAATTTCAATTGAGATTGTCATTTTATTTTGTCTAGATTTTACCTCATTCCACCTTCTCTATCATGGGACATTTAGTTCTTCTGTATGTGGTCATTCTTTTCTCTTTCATTCCTGCACAATGACTTTTATAGGATAAAAGATAAAGGAGGGATATAAATAAGACAAAGTCAAATTGAGTCAAAGTCATACTGTAGGAAAAATATGCAGCAAGAACAATGAAGGTCTTTGCTTTTATAGTCATTATATTTAGAGCCTCTGGGATTTTGAATAATAAGATCTGTTTTAGTTAGAAGGATTAAATTCCAGTGTCTCCCAGGTAGAAACCCTTTTAATTGGAGTTAAAATTTCTTATACTTTGAAACAACTTAGAACACTAAAAAAATAAATTTCATATAATAATGATAATTATGCTGCAAAGATAATATGTTTAGACATTCAAGGAAAGAGGGGATTCATAGAATGAAATATTTTCAGAAAGTTTTCCTGAAGAACATGGGAACTGAGCTTGGCCTAGAGACTAGGTATAAAACTTGCAGAAAAAGAGAAGGCAAGACTCTAGGAAGAGGGAGTAGAATGTGCAAATGTGTTACAACCTGGAAATTGAAGGAAAATCACTCAGATATTTTCTGGATATGGATTGAGAACTGATTATTGTTAGAACTAGAAATATTTTATATATACATATACAATATGTATATATAAATATGTATGTTGATTATACATATCTAAGCATAATATAGTTCATATCTTAAAACTGTTAATCATATTAAGGTATTCTTTCTGTGATAAAATGTGCTTCTAGTTTATGATTTTAATAGTACTTTTGTTGTTTATTGAGAAATAAATTAAGACCACATATTCTCTCAAAAGTTTTGAAACAACAGAATATAAACCCTACAAAAAGCTTAATTAAACAATGTATTTCAAACTCAACTCACAGTTCCTGGCATGGAGCAAGCACTTATGAATTGCTGAAGGTTAATTTGAAATTTGTTCAATAAATGTTTACCAAATTGAATTAAAGTTTGTATCACATAATTTGTATTTAAATTCCCTTATGCCTGGTGGTAAATATATATCTGCCAATTTTTCACTTTATTATAAACATAGTTTATTTCAAAGATTATTTGATACTTATCATATACTTACTACACCAGTGAGTAAATGAATTCTGTCTGTGACTTCATGGGGTTTCATATAGTAAAAAGAGTGTGAACTTCTTTTACCAACATATTTTAGGTTCTGGAGTAAGGGTAGCATTGGTAATATGATTTAATAGAATTTCTTTAAATCTGTTTATATGAGTACATCACCTTAACCTATCTAACAGGTATATTTTTACATCAAATACAATATATTTCCATGAAGAGTTTTGGGAAACAGCTGGGCATGGTGGTGCATACCTGTAATCCCAGCTGCTGGGGAGGCTGAGATGGGAGGATCATGAGTTCAAATGCAGTCTCAGTAATGGCGAGGTGCTAAGCAACTCAGTGAGACCCTGTCTCTAAATAAAATACAAAATAGAGCTGCGGATGTGACTCAGTAGTCAAGTGCCCTTGGGTTCAATCCCCAGTACCAAAAAAAAAAAAAAAAAAAGAAAAGAAAAAAAGAAGTTCTGGGAGAACTCTTAATGACTCCCCATAATGACTCCAAACTCATAGAAATTAATAAGTACATTCTACTCATATAAATAAAATCATATAATTACAATGTACTTTGCTCTTAATGGTTAAATATTTCCTTGAATTTTAAAAACAATTTTTTATAAAAAGCCTACAGTTCAATAATGACGCTATGTGGTTTCATTAAAACTTACATTTTGACAGTTTCTCAGAAGGCCAACACTTCATAATTAATGGATGTTCAGTCCAAAAGTTGACCTTCTGAGTGACTGCATTAGTGCAAACTTAGGAGGGAATTTTTTTTACTTTTGACTATTTATTGAAACTTCAGAGTTGTTATATTTTAGATTGAAAGTAAGTTATGGAACCATGCCTAAGAAATTTGCTTTATATGTTAACATTTGAGGGTCCTTTTTACAATGAAAATTCATGCTGTCTATTTTATGCTAAATTTAAAATAAGAGAAATTGTAAAAAGCTTTCTCTTCTTGATCCTTAGTGTCCTCCTTTCAAGGTTTCTGAGATTGAACTCCTGGGCATAGTAAGCCTTAGATTCTAGACACTTGTTATAAATGGCTCTGGCAGTCATTTTCAAGCTGAATCTACAGAGCCTCTATAGACAGATGGCTTCCTCCTATCTGGGATTGAGTTGGTTCTTTTACTTAAAGGTTCTTTTGCTTAAAGGTTAGCATTAATGAGAGCATATTCACAGTCTAATGAAAATAAATTTTGAAGTCAAACAGATGTGGACTTGAATTCTAGTTCTCCCGCTTATTAGCTCTTTGACCTCAAATATGTTAATAGCCTCCCTGAAGCTCAGTTTCTTCACCTTTAAATTGGGAGAAGAGCATCTATCTTTACGTGTTTTGATATGAAAGAGAGTACACTCTAATACCATTGATGAATTAAGTTCAATGACAGACACATACTATTGCCTCCATAAATGTTTATGATTATGTTGTCCTTACTTAGCAATACCTGGATATAAGCAAAAACACTATTCTGAGAATGTATAGAAGCCTGTACACCTGTTTATCTGTTTAGACTCACCAACAATTTCAGATGTTCCACGAGAATTCCTTGTCCTTTTTATAAAATAGCAGTATTAGTTCAAACATGCACAATAAATTTTATTTAATAGAAAATAAATAAGTAACTAAATAAAGGAGCTATTTAAAACTGCAGAGTACTCAAACAAAATGAGAGGCAAGAAACTGAAGAGTCACTTTTCTGGTGACACTGACTTTCCCTGTGACCTTGAGAAAATTCCTAATGCCTTTGATTTTCATTGTCTACCTCTTTAAAATACAAGGGCACAATATGTAATATATATGGCCACACTCTGAAGGGATATGATTCATACAAATAAGGAAATTTGACTTAGGATATTTGCTTAGAGGAACAGAAAAGGTGATAAGACATATGTTACTTGAGCTTAGGTCCCCTCTCTGTTTTCTCTTCTAACAGACTCTTGAAAATTTTATCAAATGTATATCATTTTACCAACTGAAGAAGAGTACATCAGGAAAGTCTTATAGAAAATGAACATATCTGAAGGAAGCAATCCAATCTGTTGTCCAGAAAAGAAGGTCTTTGAGAAAAGAAACCTAAAAACTGACAAATTTGTTGTGAAGGATACCCTTAAGTATGCCACATAGGCATATTGAATAATTTTTGTTAGAGAAAACTGAGAAATAGAATAAAATGAGTCTCTGATCTCCTCCTGTTTGCCTAAGAATAGGACATAAATTTGTAAAGTTCTCTCTCCTCCCATGTCTACCAGGATGAACAGAAGTTAATCTCACACCAGAGAAAACTGCAGACCCTTTAAACCAGAGAAAGCTTAGGTCCCAGCTCCTAAGCTACATAATCAACATGACAAAAACTGACCCTTATATTCTACTAGTTTTCCTATATATTTACCTTCCTTCAATTTACTACCCCTACTAGCTCAGGATTGTTTTCCGTTGTCTTGTTTTTCTGCAAAATTTACTGCACTTTTGTTAAGATGCTATATAAATAACTACCACTTTGAGTTACTCATTACTGATTGCTCTTATCTGTGTCGATAATGTACTTGTTAATAAACTTCTATTTGTTTTTTTTCTTGTTAATCTGTGTTTTGTCAGTTTAATATATAGGGCCAAGTCAATGAACCTGATAGGTAAAGAAAAAATATTTTTTTCCTCCTCTAAAAAAATTGCTAATTCATGGATTTCCATGAAGACAGTTGGCCAAGGGTTCCTGGTGGTATTTTTCACTGACTTATTCTTTCTTTCATTTATTCAACAAATGTCTCTTGATTACTATTTCTAAGGCAAAATGTTAGAGTAAGTTAAAGATCTAACATATAGTCTGTCTTTCAAGAGTCTGCTCTTTAGTAGGGATAATAAGACATGTATATCAGTGAAAAATGTTCTAAATGACATGAATTAAAGTTATATGTGAATTACAAGGAAGAAAGCTTTCATTTCAACCAAACAGATGTCAATGAAAGGAAGGAAATCTTGGAGGAGATGGCATTTTGACATTTTAGCCAGGATTTAAACATCTGTAGATAGGGCAGAAGGGAATTTCTGCCTGACAAAATAATGTGAGCAGCACCTCAAGGAGTAGAAAATAAGTGGCAATTGACTATACATTTGACTACAAAATTGTGTTTATGAAAGAGTGTAATGGGTGATATATTAAAAAAGAATATCATCAGATTGAGTGGAACTTATGTGTCATATGAAGAGGCTTAGTCTTTATTTTCTAGATAGAAGCAAGGAGGCATTGAAAGTTTGGTGGAAGGGAGATGGAAGAAAAGGTTGTGTTTCAGGATGAGAGGCCTAATTAACAGTTATGCACATGGTTTGTGAACTAAATTTTGAGTAATAGATCCCCCAAAGAGGTCCCTAATCGAGATCTCTTTCTTGTCCAGGCTGCTGATGTGTTATTGCAACATGGTGCTAATGTCAATGTTCAAGATGCAGTTTTTTTCACTCCATTGCACATTGCAGCATACTACGGGCATGAACAGGTAAGTCTGGCTGCAAAACTTTCAAAGACTGGGGTTCTGTTCCAATGTACCAGACTTTTGTTCAACTGTCCTATCACTAAAGATAGGCTATTTAAGATATTTGCTGAATGTTTTGTTTTTTTTTGCCATAATCTCATGAGCTCCATTCTTGAAGAGCCTATAGACCCATATGAACATTACAGCTGTCATAATATTCATTTTTACTGACAGTCTTAGTCACAGAGGAGGTAGTAGGGTGCTTTGGTAAGTGTGCAGCCACAGGAATCAGTAAGCCTCAATCAAAAAGTGCCTACCTTGCCTTATGACCCATTCATTGGTTATGATCTTCATTTCTTCATCTATGAAATGGGAATAAAGATATTAATAGTGACTACTTCTCAGGAATGGTGTTATAATGAGATCTATATTTCTTCTCAAATGCTCAATATATATCACTGTGATGATACTAATGACAACAGCAACATAACAAATCATAAAAGCTCTTCCTGCAGTTCTCTGAACAAAGATGTCTTACAGAAACTTTATTTCCCCTTTACTACTGTCACAGGATGTTGTAAGTTGAAAAAAAAATATCTTCTGAAATATGCTCGCATCCTAATTTCTATGAATTTTACCTTAAAAGGAGTTTTGCGGATGTGACCTAGTTAAGGATTTTGAGATAGGGAGATTATTTTGGATTATCCACTAGGCCTAATGATTTTCAAGGGTTCATGTAAGAGAGGAAAGGGAATCAAAGTTAAGTAGTAGGAGAGATGTGATAATAGAATAAGAGGATGAAGTGATGCAGGAAAAGGGCTGCAATCTAAGAAATTCAGGCAGCTTCTAGAAGCTAAGAAAACAAGGAAGAGGAAGCCTCCAGGGGCAAAGACGACATCATCATCATCATCATCATCATCATCATCATCATCATCATTTTCTAATTTGGTCACAATCTGAAATCAGTTGTTATTTTCCCTGTTCTTACTAATGATTATAAATGAGGTTCAGTCAGGTCAGATTGCATGCCAGAGTCATACAGATAATAAATAGAAAAGGTGAAATATGTACTCAGATCCATCTGATCCCAAAGTCCAGGTTTGTTTTGTTTTGCTAGAGCACACCATGTTATTTCTCTCCAATCAGTGACCAATGTCATAAAATCTAGGCAATTTGCCTAAATTGGAAAGTCAGAATTCAAGACAATGTGCTCTAATCTAAAATCCATCATGAAAGACAGAATTTGTATATACTGCTTTCAAGCATTACCCTTTAGCTGTTTTCTCAAGAAACTGAAAAGAATCACATAAAACAAATATAAACATAATTGAATAACCAAACATAACTATTCGCCACTTTTACTCTCCCTTGTTTTTTCTCCCCTGACTCACTTACTTATGGAGAATTATACCCTTTTAACTTCCTGAAGGACATGCCACAGTACTGCCTGAAGACCCAAAGTTGAAAACTAAATTTTCTTATGTCCCTGGCTGTCCTACTTATTATGCCTTTTTTTCTCTGCTTGCTGACATATACTTGGACCCTTTTGGTCATGTGAAAACTGACCTGTAGCTGGGAGGGGTGGGGGCGGGTAATGCTCATTTCATTGATGTGCTGTTCAGAGTACACTGGAGTGCATTGGAGAGTCAGGCACTGAAAATGGGTTTGAAAATGTAGGATCCAAAAACCCAGGTGATGGAAATATTCCATATTTTTTCTGGCTTCAGGCACAGACAGAATATTTACAATGCATGCTGCTTGTAGAGCCATCTTCTTTGGTGATTAACCTCATAAACCAGCAGAAAGATAAAGAGCCTCGATGCATATTGGGTAGAGAGCTAAATTTGTTTACTTTCCCTGAAAATATAGTCACAGTCTTATAAAATTATGCTAAAATGTGGATGGCCCTTTTATGATAAGGGACTCACTTTCTCTATGTATGAAGGCAGCACATAAGTAATTTATGGAGGCTGTTGTCATTTGCTAAAATATGCTGACAAGGAGAATGGTACATTCAATATATAAATGTGCCTAATGTGCCATGTTCCCTGCCATTTGTTTATTTGCTTATTTTTAAGTGGACGAATAGATGTTTTGTACCAAGAACAATATTTCCTAGGTATATAATAATAGTGCTTAATAGACAATCGATTTCAGAGATAGTTTAAATCTGTCCATTATAAAGTCACATAATCAGAATTTACAGAGTCTGCATAAATGGAAATATTTGCTTACCAGTACAAAGTTCTTGAAGACTAAACTTCTGCTGTTCTAATGTCTCCTGAATTAAGTCTCTGTCTGCCCATTACCTAACAAAAGGATAAGATTCACATATTACCTTGATAGTACCACTTTTCCTAATAGTTATTAGAGTGCTAGGTATTTTTCTGAGTGCTTTACATTTTAAAACTTATTTAATTTTCACAGAAACTTTATGAGGGAGAACTGTTATCATCCTCCCACTCTAGCAATGAAGAAACTGAAGTATTAAAAGTTTAAATAATTTGTTCATGTTGACATAGATAATAAATAGAAGCCTAATTCCAGAACCCTTGCTCTTACCTACTACACTCAGTAGAAAATAATTTCCCCATATCCCATCCAGCTAATATTTTGCCTAGAATTTCTATCAAATGTCTCATATTTTTGAGAAATTTCTACCAATGACATGTATTGACTGCTGAATAGGAAAAGCCAAAAATAGTTCTAGAGCTCGAATTCACTTTTGTTTTGATACTTTTGTGGTCAGGATAATTGAGGCACATTTTCCTGTTATTTTTAATGACACACACACACACACATCCCAACTTATCTTTTAGGATCACTAAAGTGACTTTTGAAATTCTCCAGAAAGCAATGTCAGGTTTAAGGAATTTATTTGGTGAATTCCTAAGTATATATGTAAGTGATTCAAAGGATCCTCATAAATTATCATCTAAAACAACCCCAGGAAGATGAAGTTATCATGTCATCTTTCTCTGTCCCTTTGGATATGGAGTAACAGCCAGTTGGGGAAGATGCCCGGATTACTGTTGCTGTTTCTCCTTTACTTGTACACATCCAGATCCAGGACTCTAGCAGCACGATGGCCAGCAGTGGCCTATGCCTGGAGCCATCATGAAAATCAAGACTCAAGTAAAGTTCTGGCTAAAAAAGAATTTGAAAAACCTTGTTCAGGAAGATGATGGGTGATTTTAGAAAGTACTACTATGTACTATGAAGACCTACATTATGGAACTGTCAAAAGTCAATGCTAAAGAAAGGAAATGGCAAAAGTAGGCTTTCAAAGCCAAAATTTAACTTTTTCAAAGTTTCTTCATAACTTATCTGGTCCTCACAATAACTTTGAAACAGGGATGATAAACAGTATTGTCTCAATTCACTGAAAATTTTTAAAATAACCCAGAACATATATTATCTGTCAGTCATTGTCCTAGGCACATTAAGCATGTTATCTCATTTGATCCTCACAATGACCCCTGAGTTAAGTTTTATTATCATTTCCTTTTTATCCGTGAAGACATCTAGGCTGAAATTAATTTATTTTCTCAAGGTTACTCAGCTAATATAAATAAGATTCTAATTCTAGTTCTCTCTTCCTCTGGACAATAACTCTTTAGTTTACTATATTGCCACTCAACATTTAAAATTCATTATGTATAATAGGGTCAGCAGCATGCACCATGGTTCCTTAGGCAAAACTATCATCACAACTATTACTGCTTCATGCCACACATTTTTCCTTGCTTACAGACTCGTGTAATTCCAGTATTCAATCTTCTCCTAGAGATTGTGTTTAGAGAAGGTGTCCCTATTCCTCAGCCAATGTGTTGTAGATTTTAATTAGCCAGGCCACTCACAATAAATCTTTCTCCTTCTCAAACTTTTGGTCTAGAAAGTTGTAAATTACCTACTATAAGCCAAGGAGATATGGAAAAATGGTTTTTGAGAAGTTTTTAGGAAGAAATTTTTAGATTTGACAAAAGGAAATCTCATATTTCAAAAGCTAGAGGAGTCTCTTGCTTTACTCTGTGGACTTTGGTTTATAACACATGGAGCTGCTGAAGTTCTCTTGAAACCATGAGGATGGTAGTGTGAAGGTATTGAGCATGGAAGAACAGATAGAAAGAACTTGAATTCTGACAATGTTCTTAAGCTGTTGTATTTAATCAACCCTGCAGTTGTTCTGGTTTAGGACTAACTGTTAACTAATCTAATAATAAATTCCTTGTTGTTCAATCTAGTTGAGTTAGGATTTTCTATTATTTTCTGGTGACAATAACCTAAGAGAAAGCTTTATAGAGTGTTCTTTAATGGTCGAAAGCTTCCCTTTATTACTTGACTCTTTGCATTAATCTCAAGTTAATGGTTCCTTTAGGTAACCCGCCTCCTTTTGAAATTTGGTGCTGATGTAAATGTAAGTGGTGAAGTTGGAGATAGACCTCTCCACCTAGCATCTGCAAAGGGATTCTTTAATATTGCAAAACTTCTGATGGAAGATGGAAGCAAAGCAGATGGTAAGATAATATATTAAGGAGAAATTTACTGTCTTTTACTTTATATATACTACTTTACTTGTACTTCTCTTATTAGAGAATAAACTTGAAAATGACTAATCCTCCAGTCATGTGATAATTTGTTCCACAAATGATAATTTATTTTAAAAAATATTCTTATTAAACCTACAAGAGAATCCTTCTCTACATGTTTCAGCTCAGTTCTCAACATATTAGGTGGCTTGATAAAGTAAGACATTTTCCTAGGCAAAATTGTTGTTTTTCCTGCAGTTTTCTCAAAGTGACATATAATTTACATATATAAAAATTTTTAATTTTTAGTATAAATACTGAGGAATATTTACTCATGTATACATTTATGCAAAAACCACCCAGATCAAGACACAGAATATTTTTTCACTCAGGTATATTCACTTATTATTTTATCTCAGTAAATAGCCTTAACCACCAAAGATCCTCAATATATGGGCATCTATTGCCATAGATCAGTTTTGTCTGTTTTTAAAATTCATATAATTTGTGACAGATTTCTTCTGCTCACCCACTTAATTTCAATAGTTATTCATAATATTGCATAAGTCATACTTTACTTTTTATATTGCTAAAATTAACTTGTTTGAATATGCTACAATTGTTAATATTTCTGATGTTTTGCTCTTACGAATAAAACTACCAACAACATTCTGCTCCAAGGTAAAGAAGTCAAAGGACACACAGAGGCAAGATGCAGAGGCAAAATGGCTGCTTGTCCAAGCTGCTGGCTTTATTTATATCAATAGGTTACGTTAGGTCACTGGCATCAGTAGTACATTATTGTTCATTGTATCATTAGGCAGGTTACAGAGTTTGCAACATTATGCAGCTTACTCCTCAGTTATATACTAAGTTTCTATGTGCAGTGTTAGGAGGTTTGTATAGGTTTCAAGAAATTCCATTGTTTAAAGTTACTATTATGTAGACAGGTTCAGGAGCAGTGGAACTTGGTGAAACATTGTGGGTGTCTAACAAGAGTTCCTATATTTCCAGGAGCTGAGTGTCTGAGTTCAAGGTTGAGGCTGATAAGACCCTAGCACAGAGCCTCCTCAAGAAGGGCATTACTACAGCAGCTAGGCATCCTGCACCTTTGCCCAGAAACTTTCCCAGGGACTCTGCATGTCACAGCCAGGAGTCATCAGAGGCTCCAATCTCAGACACTGTTCTCCCATACTCTGCCACCTCTCTCCACAATCAGAGAAAACTCACTGTCCTGTACATTTGCACAGTCAGAACATCCAAGTGCTTTTGTGAACATATATGCATTTATTTTTCTTTAGTACATTTATTGAAATAGAATTGCTTTATCAAGGAGTATGCATATGTTTACATTTTTAGGAAGTTTCCAGACAGTTTTCCAAAATGTTTGTGCTATTTTTCAATCCTACATTAATATATCAGAGTTCCAATAGTTCCCCATTGCCTTTCCAATATTTAATATTATATTAGTATAATTTTTATTGGACATAGAATTTGAATATAATCAATTTGGGGGAAAAAGGCTTTAGAATATATGGAAGGACTTCAGATTCAATTACTAGAATAGAATCTCTCTTGCCTTTTTATTTTCAAAATTATAAAAATGAATTTTGGAAAGTTGATTAAAAGTAGAGTTATTAAAAAAAATTCCTCACAAACTTTATTTTTTGACACAAATTCACTGAGAGTTACATTTTGCCATTAAATTCTCTCAGGCATATCCAACATTCTTCCATTGACCCCCTAGAGACCTAATTAAAAGCCCAGCTGTAAGAGCTGCTGGCCTTTGCAACAGGAATGATACACATTTCTGAAAGGACATGGTTGTCAAACCTGTAGAACTGCCAGTTCCTTGGTCCAAAATTCAGATTGATATTCAGCTAATAAAGCTAATCGATGATTTTTATCTACTCAAAAAGAAAACAGAAAAGCTCCTATAGACAACTGAGGCAAGAGGCGAGGGCAGTTTCCAGTTTCCATGGTAGAAACAGGCATCACTATTTTGTAAAATACGAGAAGCATAGTTTGCATTGTTTTCTATAAGCTACTCTGCAGTAACACAGGCATCTATACTATGGATAATGTGTTGTCAAAACACTAGGAACACTATTACTTGGAGTTTATTTAAGCTGTCTCTTTCATTGTGATAGTTTAGAATAGGCAGAGGTACACCTCTGTGAACCACTGAACACATAATTATGTTTTTGAAACTGCCTTGCTCTTCTAAAGGGTCAAAAACTGCATCACTTTTTCCTTTTATTACCAATGACAACTTCAGCTTTTTATTCTTCTGCACAACTCCAAAGCTCAGTAGTGTCAAAATGAGTGTCATTTGTGATCAGCGTGTCTCCAGGATCAAAGGACTATTCTGCTTAAAAGGCATTGAAATGTGTAGCACACCCATCCTCCCCTTACATACCAGCATCATACAATACAATTTTTAACATCTTCTTTCGGTCTCACACAAGTACTACATGCCTCCTACTCAATCATTTTTGTAAAAATCAAGAGCCAGCATGAATCAAACTTTCAAGTATTTTTATTTCCTCTTGATACACATTTGATATTTAAACCCCTTTTGCACTTCAACCAATTGCAAAAATAAATAAATAAATAAATAAATAAACAAACAAACCAACCATAAGGTCTACTATGCTGATGGACACTGTATAATACCTATTACCAGTTAGTTCACTTATTCCAAAATGTAGCTAAGCCTCAAGATGATTTACTTTAAATACAGACTTTACCTATGGTAAATGGATGTAAAAGGAAGATTAAATGAATGACCCCAAAAGAAGAACAATTTGAAATCTGGTATTTACAGTATGTTTCCATGGTAACAGAATGTCACAAATAAGAATAAATTCAGGTTACAAAATTGGCCAAAATGTAATGCTGAAAGCAGACTCTTCATTTTAATGTGTTCAAAGGCTGACCTATTCAGTCAGGTATGTTTTAAGTCTCTGGTCTGCTTCTTTTTCTCTGAGGGCAATGAAAAAAGAGAAATATAATATCTCCTAAATGAGGTTGAAAAGGTCAGAATATTACTGGACTTCTTTAAAAAAAAACTGCAATACAGTCTTCAAAACTTATCATTTTGACATGGTTGAAGATAGAATATTTTAAATTTGGAATTTATTAATTTTTGTCATCTCAGTATTAAATGTTATAGTTATTTTAATAAACATAGTCCTTCAACATAAATCCAGTTTTACAGAAATTCACACACACACAAAAAAATTCTACAATATATTCAGTAAAAAGAATGTTTTATTTAAAAAAATATATCTTTGGGGGGATATTATACAAATATATTATTAAATATTTATTCAAAACACATATTTTAAGATATTCTGTGATTTTCAGCTATTAAGGGGTTAATGTAAAATTTTTATTTTATCTTTAAGATCAATAATCAATTATTGATTATTTTATCCCACCCACCCATTCAAACATATTTTTTCCTTTTAAAAGATATTACTGAGCACTTACTCTCTTCAGAGTAGAGGATAGGCACTAAATATTTTCCTTATGACAATTTACATATTTTTTTTTGTTTGAAAGTCTCCTTTACCTAAGCTTCTCAATAATATATTAAGTTAGAGTAAATATAATATCATTCAGAGGTTCAATTTTCTTGAGGGTTACATATAATAACATATACATGTTTAGTCCTTGCAAACTTGTCCATGAAAAAATCTAAGTCAATCACAATGACTGAAGCACAAATAACAGGTACATTCATATAAACCCTGTGTTTGATCCTGTATTTCCCCCGATTTCCCCATTACTTCTTTGATGGGGAGAATGTTAGGTCCACTGCATGTAATTTACCAAGTAAAAAACTTACTTTAAGTCTTAATGATTCAGTAGGAGAAAAAGTATTTTGGGCGGAGCTGAGATGACTAAAGGCAAATTATGGACTAATAGAATATTGCACTATATTCTACCTTAAAATTTTCTGTCTGGACTTCAAGAACTCTTAAATGGCCTTCCAGAGGTCCTGGACTCCAAATTATTCTCTTGCATTGACTCATGCCATTGACTGTGTTCAAAAAGAATGTGAACAAATGAAAGTATCACAAAAAGGAAGACAATTAAAAGAATGAGAAACATTCTTCTGTAGGAGATGTGTCTTTCTGAGCTATTTATTAATTTTAAAAAGATTCAAAAATTTATTTTTCTATAACAACCTCAGGAGATCAGGGACTTTGTTGTATATTTTCCTTTGGCTTAAGATCATACAGGACAGGATAATGAGAAAGATTATCAACAAAGTATACAACTAAAGAAGGCCTAAATAATTGTTCATTTATTGTTATATGATGATTATACCAATCATAGCCGAAAATTAGATGTAAAATTTTAAAACTTACTGTTACCTTCCTTGCTTTACCTTCTTATTTTCATTATTTTTTTTTTTAAAAAAAATCAGGCCTTCAATTCTTTTGGTTCTACAAAGTAAACAAAGAAATCATATATTAAAATAAATATCTATAAAGTACTTAGTGCAACTGTTTTAATGTTAAAGTACTGAGTGAGTTAAAGTCAAACCCAGAATTTGGTAGTTTAGTGTTTAGCTTTTATTATTTCAATCCTGTAATTACTGACTATTCGTTTAAACTATATTTGAGTGTATGGACTCTGCATTTCTAAGTGTATTGGTCTTAGAATGTAGGAAAAAATTAAGAGGGAAATTAGGAAACAAAATAACTTATTGAATATCTGTCCACTATATAATAGGCATAATATTAGATGCTTTCTAACCACATGTTCCTTTAATCCTTTAAGCATCCTGCAACCATGGTGTATTACTTCATCATTACTAATAAAACATCAGTACCTCTAACACCTAGGACAGTGACTGGCTCGATGTGATCATTCAAAACTTATTGAGGGAATAGAGTATCAATCAAGTTTTATCAAGCATTGGAAGCTAACTCTAATTTAAGCATATTAGGAATATATTTAAAATGTCAAGCAGCACACAGACTCTTCTCCAGAAAAGGGTAGGTAGGAAGGTTTCTAATACAGTGAAGAGCAACTTCCAATGTCACACTACAAAACAAAATCAGTCCTATGAAAACTCATCACCAGCTGTGCTGCACACACACATCAACCTTATGCTTGGAAAACCAGCAATGCAAGACACTGAATCTGTAGCTGGAATTGCTATCAATGGAAACTTAATAGAACTATTGCCACCACTACTACATTGCCAGGATAGATTAGGCCCTGTTTAATGTGTCATCAGCTTCACTGTCTCCAAAGAGCCTGATATGGTATGTTGATTGGAAGAGACTATAAATAATTGTCCAAACTAGCGCACTGTTGAGAATGACAACAACTCCCTATATTGTCCCCCTTTCCTAATCTTGGAAAACACATTTTCAGATTCTGTGATGGAACACTGTCTTAGCCTGTACTTGCAGTATAGGGCATTTCCCAAATACAAAAAGCTGTCATGAAGCTGGTTGGGCAAAGCCAAGAGCAAATTCCCACTACTGAGTGAACGAATGAATTTTAAGTAACTTGTCTATGTTAACATGTTTAATTAGGTCTGTGTCCTCTAAACTGTGGGTATATATACACATACACACACACTCACACATATACACAATATATATATATATATGTACATGTATATATATATTTTGTCCCACAATAATATGCCCTGTATATTGAAGTATAGAGACTCTCAGACTCTCAACTGAGGATATACATCAGGACCTCCTAAACAATGTTGTAAACAAACAAATTGCCAGGTTCTACCAATAATCTGCAGAACCAAAAATACCTGGGTTTAGTTCTTTGGCCAGGATCTGTAATTTTTGACATCCTATATAGGAAAAACAAAATCAATTCAAAAGGATATATGTGTGGAAATAAGGCCACAAGTATCTTTTGGATGCTTATTAGTTTCCTGAACATTCTATCGTGCAAGGTATATTTGATTAGATGCATTCCACAGAATTTATGGGAGCTAGAAGAAAGTCTATTTAATGTGATAATAGGCAATAGAATAGAATTCCAACTTTTTAAATTGGTTGCACTTAATTTCCTCTATTATTATCATTAATTGGCAATTTCCAGGCGTCTCTCAGGCACTTACAAAATGTCCACAGCCTAGTATATATGATGGCTGTGATATATACAGTGGATTCCAGATAATGTATCTATTGCTTTCTTGCTGGTGACAGTGAATGCTCAGGATAATGAAGACCACGTCCCACTCCATTTCTGTTCTCGATTCGGACACCATGATATAGTGAAGTACCTGCTCCAAAGTGATTTGGAAGTTCAGCCTCATGTTGTTAATATCTATGGAGACACCCCTTTGCACCTGTGAGTATTAGATAGAATTCCATAGGTCCTATGAGACATGTATTTACTTATCAAAATATTTTCTTCAAATCTAGGGCATGCTACAATGGCAAATTTGAAGTTGTTAAGGAAATCATTCAAATAACGGGAACAGAAAGTCTGACTAAGGAAAACATCTTCAGTGAAACAGCTTTTCACAGGTAAAAGTATATTTATGTGCAATAGCCACTAAACTTAGCTGACACCTGACAGCACCTGAAGTTATATACATAAAGCAAGAACAAATAGTGGCAGATGTTGCAATCAGAAAGTGATAGCACAGGTAAGGCAGAGGATGAGAAGCCCAAGCTAGATGAACAGAAGAAAAGGTGGAGGCAGATGCTGCAGTCAGCATAACAGATGGGGTTGCAGCCAGATGCTGTGTTCCTGGATGCTGCCACAAAGACAGGGACTAATGTTGCCAAGGCAACAGGCATATCAACATCTGTAAGCATATTGCTTCTATTCCTTTCTCTGTGGAATGCTGCCAAAAGGGGCTGTGCCCATAATCCTCCTCCAACAAGAATCTCATTACCAGAATTCATCAGCATCAAATGTGACATTTTTTTTCCTTGCTACTTAAACCTTATGTGCAAATATGTCTACCTATCGAAGACATCCATATGTCAGTCTGTAAAAGCCTAGTCAGGATGACTACTGAGATACCTAAGGTGGTATTAGTTATTTTCTAGGAATCCATGAGAGTTCTATAGTATACTCTAGGAAAGCACAGTAAAGGATCAGCTCTGTTTGGAAATGATGTAAAAGAAAAAAAAAAAAGTGTTGGTCAGCTTTTTCATCACTGTGACCAGACTCAAGAGAACAATATAGAGGAGAAGGAAATAATTATTTTGGCTCATGGTTTCAGAGGTTCAGTCCATAGTCAGCCAACTCCATAGCTCTAGGCCAGAGGTGAGGCAGATATGGCAGAGTGGTGTAGCAGAGGAAAGTAGCTCATGGTATGAAAACCAGGAAGGAGAGAGACAGACAGACAGACAGACACAGCACTCTGTTCACCAGGGACAAAATATAAACCCCAAATGCACTCCCCCAGTGACCTACTTCTTCCTTCACACCATACCTGCCTACTTTTATAATGCAGTTAATCCATTCAAGTGGATTAATGTGCTGATTAGGTTAATTTTATCATAAAGCATCTCCAAAATTTTTTGCATTGTCTCACAAGTGAACTTTTGAGGGAGATCTCTTATCTAAACCATAACAAAGAAGGAGGAAAATAAATTGCTAATAATTCAGAGACAAAGCAGCTCCCTAAAACTTCTAAAACAAAAGTGTAAGATTTATAAAATTTAAAGCCTTCATTTTTCAAGTTTGCAATTTTGCTATAAAAATAATAATAGTAATTTGAATGTAATAAATCTTGAATATAAGGTCATTTAACTACATATTACATATTTCTTAGATAATTTGCAACCTCTCAATTGGTACCTGGGACTAAGTTGTTGTTTTCATAATGTTTGTATTGCACTGATAAATAATATAAATAAGGTGACTCTTGTTCATACTAAACTAAAATTAAATTTAGGCTTCTACATCAAACTTCAACCTATTAAATTGCACATGGAATTAAATGTTTTTTTTTTTTTTTTTTAAATCAATCACAGAGATTGGCCAAAAGGGAAGTTAAGAAAACTACCATTTATGGAGAAGTGACTATATGACTGATGATTTATATCTATTATTTTATTTAATTCTCCTAACCCATTTTATAAAGGTGGAGAATATTGAAACTCAAGGAAACAAAATAACTTGACAAAGGTTCTTATGGCTAGAAAATAATGTAGTAAATGTCTAACTTAAAATGCCTAACTTAAAATCCTGTGCTTTTTGCATATCTTCATGTTCTAGTACCAGAATGTTTTGTTTGTTTTCTATACACTTGGTAACAGAACAGATGCAAAAACTCTTCAGATCATACCTTCAGTCAAAATGGATCAGTGGGATCTGTCCCTGAAGGGGAAAATTGGCAGAACTGATATGTACGCATCACTGGTATCCTCTTTCCATGTTAGGTCATGCCTGTTATGGCTGACACCTCAGGCTAGTTTTCAAATCATTTTGCTACCCCATGCACATGAATTGGAACCAACTGCAATCAGAGGGTGACTGTCACCTCCAGGAGGTTGTCTATATGAGATTTGTGAAGTGAGTTAAAAGTATGAACCCAGCTGTTTTATTTTGTGTAAGCCTGTGGTGACTAGGAATAACAGATTAATATTTTTATTCTTTTTATTGTAAGCACAGACTTATAAAAGGAACTCCTTTTACACGAGAAATGTACTATGAATACAAATTTTTCTTTTTACAAATCAGTGCTTTGCACATAACAATCACTTATATATTTGTTATTGTTTTTATTTTATTTTTGTAGTTATAGATTAACACAGTACCTTTATTTTACTTATTTATTTTTATGTGGTGCTGAGTATCAAACCCAGTGCTTCACATGTGCTAGGCAAGCATTCTATCACTGAGCTACCACCCCAGCCCTGTTATCCTGTTATTATTTTTATATGTGTACTTATTCAAAAGTATATGTATATGCATACATATATACATACATACACTGTGTGTACATGTGTACATAAGTGTGTGTGTATTTATCAAGTACTTTGTACACACATGTTATAGTTTGGATCTAGAATGCCCTCCAAAGGCTCATGTGTTGCAAATTTGATTCCCAGTTTGTGGTGCTATTGGAAAGTGGTGGAAGGAAAATGTAGGTGTTGGAGTCTGTTTGGAGGAAGTAGGAAACTGGGGGCATTTCCTTAAAGGGTATATCTGTCCCTGGTTCCTTCCTATTTTTTCCTTCTTTTTCTCTTTTTTTCCGCTTTTTTCCTTCATCCTTGTCTCCATTAGGTGAGAAAACTCTGTTTTGCCAAATTGTTCTCTCTATAATGTTCTTTCTTACCATAGGCCCATAGTGATGGGATCAAGTGTCTATGGACTGAAACAGTGAGACAAAATAAATCTCTCATTTTTTTAAAATTGTTTATATAAAAATATAAACAACAGAAAATTGATACTGAGAAGTGGGTCATTGCTTTGACTATACCTGACAATATGTTTGGAATTGGTTACTGGGAGAAGTTTAGAAATGTTTGAGGAAGAAAGCTTAGAACATTGTGAGGAGAAATTAATAGACAATTCTGACGTGAGCTCAGAACACCAGAATGCTAGGAGGAATGTGGATAGTAAGGGCAGTGATGAGGTTTTAGATGAGAAAGAGGATTCTACTGGGAATGGAACTAGAGGACATGTGTTTTACATTCTGGCAACAAACTTGTCAACATTTTGTTCATGCCTTGAGAACATTTGTGAAGTTGAACTTAAGTAATGGAATAGTTTATCTGGCAGAGGATTTTTCAAGGCAACACAGCATAAAGGTAGTGGCATGGGTATTTATAACTGCTTTACACAAGATTTTCAGCAATATTTGGGAGCAAAAAGCAGAGAAAAAGGACTTTAAAGTTTGTAGTTTGGCAAAAAAAATAAGCATACGTAAAAGTGGAGCCAAGGAAGGTGTTCTTGCTAAAGAGATTAGCACTACGAAAAAGAACTCAAGTACTTTGTACCAGTATGATAAGAAAGGTAGATTGAGAGCTTCTCAGGAATTGATGCCACCCACCTACTGGAGGCTGAAGTGTGTAAAACTATAAACTACTTTCAAAGACTTTGCTTTGAGAATGTATAACTAGGCCCCCGTCTCATACTGGGATACCTACAAAGTTATTTCCCCAGGATACATTTTATTGTGCTTAATCATTCAGGTACCTGCTACAGCTATGGCATAGGTGGCAGACCTTGGTGTCATCTGAATGGTGCAGGTTTGGCAGGTATACAAAATGCAAGACTTGTGGAGTCACTCAGATTTCAAAAGGGAGTCTGGGAAGCCAGGCAGTGTGTGAAAGTTCAGAATCCCTGTGTTAGTCCCTGGTAGAGCAATATATGAAGAGTAAAGAAAAAGCTGCAATAGAAGCCCCAGGAAATTAGAGATGTCAGGAATGTGGAATGTCTGCTGAGCAAAGATATAGACAACAAGCAGAGGCAGCTCAAGAGAGTGACCATGTCTGTTGCAAACGGTAAGGCAGATGCCTAAGACCTTTGGAATTCACTTCCTACCATCACATACCCTAGATGCGGGATGTGGATCTATAGGATACAATACTTGACTTACTGGGCTGTATTGTCACTATGGTATGATTCTTCCTTGGTAATCCATCCCTTCTGTTTAGAATGGGAATGTTTACCCAGTGTCATCATATGTTAAAGTACATAATTTGATTTCTTACTTTTATATGGATTACAGCTAAGAATTTGCCTTAAGATTTAGATAATTCTTTGAGCAATGCTGTAACTGCTAATACTATGGGGACTCTTGCATATGGATTGAGTGCATTTTGCATTATGAGAGGATATGAGCTTTGGGGGATGGAGATAGACTATTAGAGTTTGGATCTGGAATGTCCTCCAGAGGCTCTTGTGTTGAAGGCCTAGAACCTTCAACATGGAGGTGCTATTTGGAGGTGGTGGAAATTTTAGGAGGGAAGGAATAGTTTGAGGAAGTGGAGTAAATCCTTGAAGAGTTTATCTTGTCTCCATTTACTTCCTTTCTCTCTCTCTCTCTTTCTTTACCCCCTGGCTAATTTAAGGTGAGCAACTCTGCTCTCTCACCTGCTCCCCACCATAATGTTATGCCTCTGCAGGCCCACAGCAATGGGGCCACATGAACATGGACTGAAATCTCTGAAACTGTGATCCAAAATAAATTTTTCATCTTCAGAGTTATTTTCTCAGGAGTTTTATCACAGTAATGGAAAGTTACTAACATAATACATATGTATGTATATATGCAAACATATATACACACATAAATTACACACATGTATGCATATATTCATAATTTATCATTTTCTGCAAATAGTTACTTTGAAAATAAACAACAAAGTACTTCAGACAATGACTGTTATATATGTAGTGTTATGGGTCATATTTACAATGAAAATTGTTAATGGGATGATATATTGCACTGAGATGGTTACTTTCTATTTATTAAATTATCCAAGAAGAGTTATTAAAGATCTGCCTTGTGTTGATGCTAGAAGGGACATTAAAATGACAGGATATCTTTCATCCTTAAAGGAGCCATGAGATTTTGGTAAAAAAAAAAAAAAGTTTGTCTATTACCATAATACAATGTGACAAGTGCCATAAGACTGAATGACAAAGGAGCAGGAGACAGCAATGATTCTACCTTTATTCATGAGAAGATTTTGCAGAAGGACAAATGCCATAAGACTGAATGACAAAGGAGCAGAAGAGATAGCAATGATTCTGCCTTTGTTCATGAGAAGATTTTGCAGAGGGAGCAATAGTTCAGAAGATGTATGAAAGATGAGTGGTATTTATTAAACAAATATGACTTGGTCAACACCATCTCAGGAAGAGGAAATAGTTAGATCCTATGCTATGAACTACCTCTTTTTCTAGAACCAAGTCCCTGCACACTTCCATTAGCCATGATTAGATGGGGCTCTGCTTCATATTAGTTTCCTCCAGTCACCTATGACATACCTCATAGCTGTCCAGGCTTTGGAAGTAGAATCTTGCTAGTGAACACAAAAAGCAGATGTATGAGGGAAATTATAGGAAAAGAAAGTTTGTGAAAATTACTAGTCAATGAATAAAAGCTAATAGTCATTATTAGGCATAATTTATTTACATTACACAAAATATTTTTTTCTATCAGCTTTTTCAGTAAACAGTAGAAATTAGAATTTCAATTAAATAGTTCAACAAATTTGGTTGTAAATTTTATCTATAAAAATCATATCTCCTTTAGGTCCTTAACTATATTAATTTTTTCTCCCAACGAAAAGAGCAGATCATGGACATCCTTTCCAGCTTGTAATGTGATTCCATAAGCTTTAATTCACTTGGAATTTCAGCAACAATGTGGTATTGAGGAGGTATTATCTATCATCTTGTAGAACAGGTGTGAAAACTATAAAATTCAAGAAGTCTAAGGATTTGTCCCAAGTACTCTGGCTAGTATATGGAGGATTTCTGGACTTTGAGTCCACAACCAAAGCTCCCATAGTAAAATGACAGCTATGAGATCTTACCTTCTGGTCAAGGAATTCTTCCGACATTTGACAGTTTTCCTAGGGAATAATTTCAAAATATGAAGTGATTTGACAACAGCTCTCAGGATTCTCCTGAATTTCATATTTCATTGTCATGCAGAATAATTTTTAGGTTAAAGTTGAACTAATAACACAGGAAATACTTGATTCAAAAGTTCTATAAATTTTACAAAACTTCTTTACTTCACTGCAGATTTGAAAATCTTCAAGATTTTATCACTGTATGTTCTTATTTTTATTTACCATTTTCATATAGTGCTTACTTAATTTTTAGTATCTCTCCTCTTACCTTCCTTCCCCCCTTCTTTGTCTGTTTGGCACTTTTATTTACACATCAGCATCTAGATTTTCCTGGGTTAATCAAGGCTGTATTTGTTTCCTGTGGCTGCCATAACAAAATACCACACAGGTCAGATAGGTTAAACCACAGAAATGTATTGCCTCATGGTTCAAGAGGCTACAAGTACGAAATTAAGATGTCAGCAATGTTGTCTTCCTCTGGAGCCTCCACCTCTTTTCTTGACTTGAATATAGCTACTTTCACACTGTGACTTCACATATCCATCCCTCAGACTGTCATTATCTGTTATAATCTCCTCTTCTTATTAAGATACCAGTTTTATTGGATCTGTACCTACACTAGTGACCCCATTTTAACATATTAACTCTTTAAATACAGTATCCCTAAATGAATTCAGAATCTGGAGTTAAGGGAATTAGAGCTTCAACCTATGCATTGGGAGGGAACACCACTCAGCCCATAGAAGTGTCTTCTATTTTCCTTATTTTGTACTTTTGCAGTGCTTGTACCTATGGAAAGAGCATTGATCTGGTTAAATTTCTTCTTGATCAGAATGTTGTAAATATCAATCACCAAGGAAGAGATGGCCATACAGGTATGACTGGGGTGAGAACATCCCTTGTTTGAGGTGCTTATCAATGGTCTAGAACAGTGGTGTGCCAAGGGGGAATGAGCCCTGACTGTGGTCAACCCCAGTGAGGATGGATATTGTTATCAACTGACACCATTTAGCATTGATGGTAAATAGTAATAATAATAAAAAAAAAAAAACATTAAATTTTGGTCAGCTTGACGGTTGTGTTATCTATAGTCAATGTAATCTCTTCTGGTCTTTACCAGAGACTGACCATGCTACCCTGCTTTGAAAATAATTCTTGAGAATCTTCATTCTTTTTCTTCTATAAAGATACTAACATTCATTCTTGATAATACTGTAGGTGTAAAAATACTAAAAAATAATTCTGAGCAAAATACAGTCTATATAGATTGACTAGTATAGAATATTTCTTTTGCTTATTGTATGTTTCCTCCATAATAAAATTAATTCATTATCAGGTATATCAACCATTGCTTTCTGTCTCTGAAAACAATGTTGTTATGTGGTGACAACTGCCTTTTGAAAATCAAAATGTAGTTTTCTTCCTTTCTCCTTTCATCCTTTTATTCTTTTCTATTACAGGATTACACTCTGCTTGCTACCATGGTCACATTCGCCTGGTTCAGTTCTTACTGGATAATGGAGCTGATATGAATCTAGTAGCTTGTGATCCCAGCAGGTCTAGTGGTGAAAAAGATGAGCAGACATGTTTGATGTGGGCTTATGAAAAGGGTATATTTTTAATCATTGCATCTCTATAGTGACACATTGAACTGTGTGCATAGATTATGTCAATGCATCAATAATTCCTTTGCTTTCAAGACATGTATATGCTCATTTCTTCTGTAGATTGTATTTGAGTCTCTGGAGATTTGGATCAGAGACCAATAGACCATCATTAGAGAAACCAACTCCTGCACTGCAGATAAGCTGAAGGCATTCTCAGTATTGATACACTGAAAAAGAGAATGAGCTACTGCATTTTTAGGTGCTAACTTGTGGTAGGAAATGATAGAAGAGTGGAATTAGAGATGATCTTTATCTCTCTTTTAGGGGAATTTTGATGTGGATTCAAATTTTAAAACACAAACAAATATAAAGAAAAACAGGAGTATGTCAGAGTAAACCCTGTTGATAGTGCCTGTGCTAGAAAAATGTAAGGGAGCCACGATTTGTATTCAGGTATTAACTTATTTGAACTCAAAGCAGTGAGAACTTGGGATCTGGTGTGAGAACACCTGGGTTTATATCAAGTCATATTTTTTGACCTTGTGTAAATTATTTAATCTTTCTAGGATCATTTTCTCATTGCAAAATGTAGGTAACAACTCCAACTTCACAAGATTGTAAATATTAAATGTGATAATATGCACAAATTGCTTAGATCAGTGGCTGCACAAAATAAGCACCTAATAGTATTTAGTAGTGATATAAGTGGTAGATTTTGTAGTAGGTCAGAAATAAAGATGATTGATAACAAATTCTTTATTTCAAGGGAAAGGTAACTAGAGACATTCAGAAGTGAAACACCATCTTTGTTATTGATATTTAAGACATATTGTACATCATAAGTGAGCTCTGCATATGCACATAAGCTCCTAAGGTGTTTAGATTCCTCAGGTGAGATGAGACAGTATTACTATAATTGAAATTATGTAGTTATGACTGAATACTGTATAATTAAGACTTTTATGAAACATTTTACTTATTATGTTAACTTTGATGACTATATTTTTAGGATGCTTAAAGTATGAAAAGAAATATATTTCTTTGTTTTAATGATATAAACATATAAGGCCATACTAAGCTATAAGATTTCTTAGCCTACTAAGTTGAACCTATCTGAATCTCATCTGGTTAAAGTAGGATATGAAAATCCATCAATGAAAAGGGAGATTGATTTTGGTGAATGGAAATGGGGAGTCATTTTAAGCATGTAAACAAAAAGGGAAAACATACAGATCTGAAGGCTACTAGTGAAAAAATGACATAGGAGTTACTTTAATAAAGACAAAATAATAAACATGGAATCATAAATAATAAGACAGTTATAGATCTGCTATCTTTTTGTTTTTATTTTTTGAGTATTGTATAAATACAAGTATATCTGCCTTTGCACATATTGTTCTGCACAACTCAGTTAACTTTTACAACCTGAACCTACCCTGAACACAAATGATGAATGTGAACATGACCAGTACCCTAGAAGCCCCACTTACATTATCTTTCAATCTCTCCCCAAAGGAGTGTACACTGCCTTCTGACATAGTTTTTCTTCTTTCAGAGAACTTTATATAATAGAATGCAGTGGTAGGTATGTACTATTTTGTGTCTGGCTTCTTTTGGCCAACAATTTATGAGATTAATCCTTATTGCAAGATGTTGTAGACTGTTTATTCTTATTGTTCATAGGATAATGTTTTGTGACTAGATCACAATATACTTATTCATTCTGCTATCCATGGCCGTTTGGATAATTTCCAATTCAGGGCTGTTAAAAATACTGTCCTATGAACATCCATATACATGTATACTGTGCATTTCTTTTGATGGATATATTATTGCATTTTTGTTAGGTACAAAGAATTTCTCCTTTGTGTTAAAAAATAATTCTAGGTAGCTTGATATTTTAAGTATCAGCTGGAAAATCTTAAATATTCTGAAGCCTTAGGAGGCCTGACTAAGTTCTACTTACCCAAAGCATTACATTTATTCAAGTGATTCTCAGACAGCATCTCTTAAGAAATGTGAGTTTCAGAGTAAGACTGTTTACAAAGCATTAGTCTTCCGGAAGGCAGCTCAGAAATTGCTGCTGCAGCTATCTCTTCACAGGGGTTGACTTTGTTTGTTTGTAGTTGATTGAGAGTGATAGTTGAAAACTGGCTTTACTCTTATTTTTTTGTGGAATTCCACACCTTATAAAACAATGAATCATTGTATAAACTCCTAAGATTTCCTGCCAAGCCACGGCAAAAATGCTTTAGAGGACTTGCCCACTGATCTCTGCAACATATGCCATATTTGTCACCTTTATTTGTTCATCTAATGTGCCAGGCATCAGAGTTGGATTCCATTATTACTATGAATTTTAACAAATTGAATGTTAGTACCCAGGAGACATATGGATATTTTACATATGTTCTAGGGCAAAGCAAGTCAAACCAGCAAAATGAAATTACTGCTATTTTCTCTTGCTGGAGAAATGTTGCACTGTTTTAATGTATTCGGAAAGGATTGAAATGGCCTTGTTGATACTGTCAACAGTGAACAGTTTCTGTTTTCATTGATAAAGAAATGCTTCCCTTTCTCCCTTGGAGAGAGAGTTGCCAAATTAACTGATATAGTACACTAAAAACTTTCCTGAACAATTTGGAGATGAAGCTGAGGAAGCAGTAAAACTCTGCATAGAGATCCTTCTTATTAGAATAGAGGTGATATAGGAATGGTTTCATTATGCTTTACCATGTACCATATGCTATCCCAGGAGAGAGAAACTATAAGGGAGATTCAACAAGCAGTGTTGAGTTGAAAAGGAATATTTTTCTGAATGCTTCAGTAGAATAGCTCATCCTACTCTACACTCTGAAGAGAAAGACAGTGGAGTCTTTTTCAACAGAATGTGTCTTTGGTTCTAAACCAAATTTTTTAACAGACCCAGACTAAATTTTAGCTAACTATCCTTTTGCTATTCTGATATAGTACATTCAAGGATGTCTTGGAGTTCTGGAAAAGTTGTCTAGTCTCTTTTGGAATATTTTCAAAACAAGAGTTTACCCACTATGAGTTCCTGTGGAATCAGAAATGAAGAACACTTTCTATTTGCATAGCCCTTTTAACCTAAAGAGATCAGAATCAATCTTCGAAATAATTTTCTTGGTGCTCTTGATTCTACTCGGAAGCCTACTGGTTAAGTTTCAGTATTTCTTTGCTCGACTGCTTAAAGTTCCAATTTCACAGTATTTAGAGTGTTTCTCCTCTCCAAGTCATCCCCTACCCCCACCCCCTTCTTTTCTACTATTATTTCTGAAAGTGTAGTGATGGCTGTCTCACTCACTTGGATTTGTTCTGCCCTTTCCCTGGGGTACAAAGGACTTGTATGAATCAATTTAAATTGGCTAGAAGAAATAGCCAGCAGCTTGGTTATGTTTAAATCCTCTGCCCTAATCACCAGTATGGAAAACCCATTGAAAAGACCTACACATAATCTTACATCCATTGCATTAAAGATGAAACTGCCGAATTGAAAAGATCTCAGCCAATTAGAATTGAACACATAGCTCAATAGTGTGTCTGGCAGTTAGATTTGAAAAGGCTGCCTTTGACAAAGAAAAGCACTCCTTTATGTCAGGCTGTTTAGGGTCAGAAAATAACCCAAACCAGAAACAGGACTAAAAACTTCTGATTTGCTTCGGTACTGACACCAGTTAAAGTAATTTAGAGAGGCTCCTCTCCCAATATCTAATTATCCAGAATACAATATTTGTATACAGCAGAAGCATTCTAATTCACAATGACAGGGAACTGGAGTTGGAGAATTAGTGAGTAAGTGAGCAAAAACAATAAAAATCAAGGCTCCTGTACCATGATATATACTCTGTTCATTCCTTTTGACAAGTGTAGTATGGTGTGAATTATTTATAGTAAATGTACTATAGTGTATTCTCTAAAAGTAATGAAATCTTACAGTCATGAGTTTCTACAGGTTTTAGCCAGTAAAAAATAACTGAGAAATGAAGGTTAGGAAGGAACAGAAGAAGAGGTAGGGTCATTAAATTATTTTATAAATTTACAACAATGAATTATAAATTCATAGGCTGCTTCTATATTACATTCTTACCTATTAGAATTTATTTCCTGGTTTAGTGAATAGTTAGTAGTTTAGTGAATCTAAACTACTTAGGGGCTGAAGTTTAGTGTGATAAAGTAGATTAGGAGGGAGATAAAGGAAGGGTTAAACAAAAGACTTAGAGGGTATTTCAAAATCCATGAGTTGTTTTTTTTTTGGGGGGGGTGTGTTTTTTTGTATATTGGTTACCATTCTACATATGTAGTTATTCTCTTTTAAATATAAATGAATAAAATAACACTAAGCACTATTAGAATGAGATTTTTCTATTTCTATTTGGAGATAAGTCACAAATTTCTTGAAATATATTAACTGCAAGAATCTACGTACTTAGAATGTAGAACTTACATTAAGTAACTATTGCATATGCATATATATATATATATATATATATATATAATTTAATTATTAGTTAATTACTATGAATGGGCATTATCTTACTACTATAAATAATTTGGGACTTAGAATTGTTAAGTCACACAGCTGTTAGTAGAGAGCTGGCACCAGAGGTCTATCCTATTGCAGAGTTCAGGCTTTTACCACCACAATATAAAATCAGTCAGATCTGCCACATTCCATCGTTATTACTCAACGAACTTCAATCAGTTATTTAATTTTTTTCACTCCTCATCCTCAAAATGAGGAAATTTACCAACGCTTTATGGCATTCCAACGAAGGTTAAGGATAAGATGTAAATGCTTGGAACTTAACAGATTCTCAATAAAAATGGGGATAGGTTTTATTGTTAAATAAAGGGTGGAGATATAATTGAGTCTGTATAACTCCCAAATCTCACAGTCTTTCCTAATCTACAATATGATTTTGTATACAATAAGAAATACTGATATATTAGGAAGATGGGTATGCTTAATAAACCCACTGATG